GTGTGCCTTGGCAGTATCGCGAGTCCTGGATCTTGAGTCGTGGCTGTGGTCCTGGATCATAAGTCCTGGATGGATATTCTCGTGGATTCATCTTCCTATTATACATACACACATGCATTTCCAAACATTTGGACTACCTATGTTGCAAATGTATTATCTTTTCAATTTACACACGGCATCTATTGGACGTCTGTCCGTCCTGGGAGAGGGATCCCTCCTCTGTTGCTCTCCCTGAGGTTTCTCCCATTTTTCCCTTTAAACTTTGGGTTTTCTCTGGAAGTTTTTCCTTGTACGATGTGAGGGTCTAAGGACAGAGGGTGTCGTATTGTCATACTGATATTCTGTACAAACTGTGAAGTCCACTGAGACAAATGTAACATTTGTGATATTGGGCTATATAAATAAACATTGATTGATTGATTGACATATTACCACTAGTGTTAATTCAGAAGTAAAATAATGCATTTGTTTCACTGCTGGCGATCAGTTTCCTCCAGTAAGTCATGAAGTCCCTGTCTCCAACAGTGCAGAAATGAAAGGAAATCTTTTTGTTATATTATGTCCCTCCTCCGCCTCTGACATGAATAGTTAACAGAGAGGTGGAGGAGGGACAAAAACCTGAGAGTAACTGCACCCCTCCCTCTCCTCGGCTGGCCAATGGCAGGCAGTTTACAGCTTAGAGTTGAGGGCTGTGAAACTATATAAACTGTTCACGCTCTGATCGCTCTGCCAGCCGACTGAGCTCTCAAATCCAACTCAAAAACACAGGGCAGAACACTACACACTTCTGCAACAGGACACAAGATTTAATGCAATATTACAACAATTTGAAAACAGCAACAATGAAGACAACACTGGCAACTCTGACTCTCTGCCTGGTGGTGCTCATGGCCACAGGTTTCCCCTTGGAGAAGAAAGGGGGCTCATCCTCCGGCAGTGCTGCCAAGGAGAAGCGTGTACAGTACGCAGCTTGGGATGATGTGAATGTCATCGCTCATGGCCTGCTGCAGCTGGGCCAGGGGCTGAAGGAGCACGTGGACAAAACTAAAGTCCAGATGAGGGACATTTCCACCAAGCTGAAGGTGTTCAATCGCACAGTGACCGAGCTGGGGAAGGAAGGCCAGAAGCTGCGAATGGAGGGGGAGACCCTGAAGGCTCGAGCCCATGGACTGGAGGACAGAGAGGGGCAGCTGCTCAATGTCACGGCCGAGCTGAGGGAGAAGGCGGAGGAGATGAATCAGGAGAGGAAGACGATGAGCGAGAGGATGAACCGGCTGGAGGAGAGGGTGGACAGCATGCTGCAGAGGGGAGCTGGGCTGCCTGACTCCAACGCTGGGGCCAAGAACAGCAGTGATGCTCACAACATCCAGGTGAGAATGCAATACTTGTTCTCCTTTTTCAGTGAAGCATTGGAGTTATAGTTAGTTTGGGAGGAAAATAAGGTTTCTTCTGTTTTCAAAACATGTTTCATATTCTTATCACTTCAAACTAAAGTCCCATTCAGAGTATGACATGTTGCTTTACTGCAGAAAGGGACTCAAGTTAGTGGATGTACAGTATGCATGGGCCATTGGCTTTTATGGGGGGGCTTTTTCCCCTCAGCTCAAAGGCACTAAATCAAAAAGCACAAAGGGCAAGCAGTGGGTGGTGGGTGTAGTGGAGTGGAGTGGAGGGGGTTGCTTAACAAGCCTGCATGGCATTGAGCAAGACCGTGCAGTACGTGCAGGGAAACACTACAGCCTGACAGACAAAGGGATCTGCACGCATCAGCTGCAAGAATGTGTGAATAATTATCCACAGCTGGGTGATTTTACAACCTGTAGAGTATTCGGCCATATGATACAGTAGAAGGGGGCTTATGCGAGTTGCGCTTTCTCTGCAAGTCTCAGCTTACAATGAAGTATGTGAGCCTGAAAGGCTTCATACTGGGATGGAAAACCCGCGCTGTGAGTGAGTTACATAACCACACCACAGCCGGTGAGAAAGGAAAAGGGCTTTTCATTGAGGAGTGGAAATGTGTATGGGGTCTATGTTTTGGGCTTCTCAATGAAACCCTGCAAACTGTTTGTTGTGTTCATCTGGTTACTTCTGTGGCTGTGAGGCTCAATGCCACATTGTATGCACAAGCACTGTGTAATAAAGATGACCAAAAGCTGAAAATGTGGTTCTTTTGTGTCGGTTTTTCTCTCAGCTGATGCTGGAGGGTCAAAACAAACGCATTGACGATCTGATGGAGCGGATCAGACTCCAGCAGGAGAAGCTTGACAAGCAGAATGTGCGCATCAGGACACTGCAGAGCCAGGTGAAGAAGCGTTACCATTACCACAATTATCAGAATAACCTTTGAGAATTCTCTTTCTTATTTTTTTTTTTTTTTATGCAATTACATCATTGGTTTGTCACTTCTTCAGGTTCAACAGGTCCGTCAGAGAACTTCCCTGCAAAGCAGCCAGAATGACATGCAGAGCAGCGTCGCCGAGCAAAGCGACTCACCAGTCGGTAAGTAAAGCCAGAAAGCGCCCAAAATCCTCTCCTTACACCTTCTTAAGCCGACTGGACAAGATCTGACGCCAAATGTGGCACACCATCTGTTTAGTAAGGTCAGAAAGAAGCTTAAAATCACTAGCAATTAAAATCAAGGAATCTAATCAATTGAGGACACGCTTCTCTTCCCAGCGTGACGCCAGAAATATAAACTGTTAGGCTTCTTGCAGCAGCTGTGCTTTTTAGCTGGTAAAATCATAACTACTGTACTTTAATGTATTTAAATATATAATTTAGGCATCCAACTTTTCTGTATTCTGAACTAAAGTATATCTAATTTGCATTTGGTTTAATAGCATTATTTGAAACGTATTTAAATCATCATCGTTTAAAGTGCTTACAGAATGAAATGGGCAAATTAAAGTTGTCAGCATGAGGTTCAGTTAAGTCCCCTCATACTGTCGCTTACAGTAATTGTAAAAGGCAGTAAATGATGCCCTCAGTGTGAAGCCACGCCAAGCAGCTGCTGCTCCCAGACCAGCAGTCATAATGAGTGCTTTTATCCAGACTGTACCTGGCTGAATACTCTCAAACTGGGACACACGCTCAGGTTTCTTACCCAACACACACTGGTCAAACTTAAGGTCTGTTTAGCCTTTAAAGAGGACAAAAGGAATGAAGAGAGGAAATGCTGAAAAAAAGCAAATTGCTGCATAGATGGTAGATTTTAATTCATAAAGATGAATAAAATGAAGTCAGTTGGAAATACATTGAACCTCTGTTTCTGATGGCCGTGGATGAGAAATAGGGGAAAGGTGAATACTGCTGAGGCAACAATTGAGACTAGTCAGCCAGTCACAATACACCTCAGAGCTCTGACATCAGCAGGATTTGAGGAATGAGGAAAGAAGAAACAAGTTTATTTGGCAAGGTTTCAACTGGGGGAAAGTTTGCTGGTCTCTCAGAGTGTTCACTCAGGGTCACACAGTTTAACGGGATTACTCATACTGTTAATACTGTACTGGTGTGTGGGGGGTGGGAGGTGGATGAGGGGAACCTAGAAGGCTTGGTACAAATCTAGCATGCAATGTTGCTCGGATTACAGCCCTTGAGCCTGAGCCAAGAAAAAAAGTAGGAGAAAATGGGAAAAGGTGGTCTATATTTATCTGTGAACTTTGTACAGATATCCCGCAGTTTTTAAAGACCCTCGCCTCCTCCTCCTTTTTTAGGACGTCCCGCCTTTTTTTGTAAAAGAAACATTTGTACATCCCTCAAGAATGAGCAACCTTTCCCCTAGATCTGTCAGGGAGTCAGACATCCCTCCTCCTCCCCCTCCTCCCCCTCCTCCACTTCATTCATCTTCTCTCCTCCCCCATCCCCAAACACAAACCACCCACCTCCATCTCTCTCCCATTGTAATGAGGAAGAACTGTGCCAAAGTTCAGGACAACCCCTGACCCTGAGGCACATTACAGCCACAACCAGCCACCAAGGGTTCATGCCTCTAGAGGAAAGGTCATTACACACTAATGAGGTTCTGTGGTCACTCAGCTGGTGTCCTCACATTGACACAATATGCAGGCCAATACCAAACAATAATAAATCAACCCATTTTGACATTTTATTTGTAATTATTACAGCTATTCAACAAATAGCATCACATGATGATGTCATGAATGATGAGAAAAGGAATGCAAGAGATGCAATATTTTACCCCTTCCTCATTAGGCAGAATACAGCTCCAAGTGGCTCTGGAGTCCCCTGCCTTCCCCAACATACCCTANAAGGTATATGTCAAACGCTTATAAATGCAAATAACAAACATGTTAATTAATTTACAATAACATTTGAGTATCTCTTTTTTTTTTCTCTTGGCACTTTCTAAGAAAGTGCCAAGAGAAAAAAAAAAGAGATACTCAAATGTTATTGTAAATTAATTAACATGTTTGTTATTTGCATTTATAAGCGTTTGACATATACCTTTTTCCTATTGCTTTTTGGAAATGAAATGTTTATTTATTTTGCTTATAGAAAGTCTGTTGTATATGTTCATTCTTATTTATTAAACATTTTTAATAAATGTATATATTTATTTTTCATTTTTGTAAATCTTTTGAAATTAACTATATTCAGTTCAATTTCCTGTATTTACCTGAAATGACCTGCGTCTGAGCGTAGACGACTTCTTCTGTGGTGCCGGCCTCCCTCTCCTCCAGCTTCTCCCCGATGCAAGCGATCACACTCAGGTCACTCTCCAGAGCGTGGGCCACCTGGGGATCAACCACACCCTCAAGTCTTTACCTGACGTGTTTGCACCATTTAACAACAGGCCGGATTTAACTCACTTAAAAAGATTTGTTGTGGCTCCTATACATCTGGGCAAACAGGTGGAAGTAAACAGCTGTAAAGTCTGACTAATCTGTAGGTTATCTTATTTTATTAACTTTAAATACAAAATAGTCTAATTAAAGCTAAATTAAAGAGTATCCAATATTTTACCTCCTTAGAAGGTCACCCATTGTGCAAAATCCACTTTTCATTTATTTTATACATAAACATGTGTAAAGAGATTCTGAAAGTTTCAGGAAATAATATTCTCTCTCTTTTTGTCTTGATCCATTTATATAAAAACCTGTCTGCAAATGAGCGGATTAGATTTTGGCCACTTATATTTATACTTATATGATATCATAACGTTTTGTTGTCTTGTGTAACTATTAGCCAATAACCAACCAAGGTAACCCCCCCCCCCACCATATCACCTGAACCTCCTAGAGCACCATTCTGTTCTTTTTAACCAAATATCTCTCAGTGGGGCGTGGGGAGGGGCTCCTTATTTTCATCTAAAGTAACAGACAGAGAATCAGCACTTTTGAAACAAGGCTGAAACAGAGGGGATTATGGGATGCTGCAATGCATGATCTGTTTGGTATTTAGAGCCAAACACTTCAGAGACATGTTTTGTATATATCTGAGACCTATAATATATTGACGAAAAACAGTATAATAGGAGACCTTTAAATACGACAGGTTTCTTCCCTACACACTTGCCAGTATTTATATTATTATTTGTATAAATACTAAACAGCGTCCACATCCACACATTTCCTACAGCGGCAGGAGGAAGCGGCCCACCTTCTGACCAATCAGCTCGTCACTTTCCCCAAAAACATGGCGGCGCTCAGAGTGTCCCAGTATCACCCATTCTGCCCCGCAGTCCTTTATCATGGCCGGACTGTAAGGAGAACAAACATGTGACTTCATGTGATCATTTATTTAAAAAGGTATCAGCCTGCAGTATTATTAATAGATCGGATGCATTGTTGATTCATTCATATTGCATTCATCCAGTGGGTGAGATACCTGATCTCCCCCGTGAACGCTCCCTTGGCCACATTGTAACAGTTCTGGGCTGCGACTCCGATCCTGAGATCCAGCATGCAGCGGGCGAAGTCCAGGTAGATGGAGGGGGCTCCACACACCACCTCTGAAAAAATGAGTTCATTGTGACTTTAATTTCATCCTCATCTGTGACTTCTTCTATTTCTATTTCCACTAGTCTCACGTTGATGCCAACATGTGCCTTAGGCCCTGGACTGATAAGGTTAATACAATTACATTTAATTGAGTTACATTTATTTTCAGGGGACTTCCATCACTTATAGCAGCAGAGTGGAAGTAAAACCTACTCCTGTTAGAGCACTGCACACAGATTTGGGTTATTTTCCCTGTGATAAATTTCAAATACACTTATGTTATTGAAACTATGATGGTGTTGTCACTTTGGTTTTCTACTCTGAATAAATATTCTTACACTATTAGTTATGGATGTCCATGTCCACTAGTACAATGAGAATGAGAAGTTCTCTAAAATAATTACAAAGAAGCTTAAAATAATGACTTCAAAATATATCTTATTTATCACCAAATTATTTACCTATTTATCTCAATATAACGACTAGGTATTTCAAATAAATGACTTAATATATCAAAAAAGGTGCTCAATACCTACAAATATTGAATCAATATCTTTCAAATATTGACTTAAACTTTAAAAAAATATTTGAGTTTGTGAAAACATACTGGCCTTGTTCAAAGCATTTACCCGAAATCTGCACACGGTTTCTGCAAATATCTCAAAAGAATCTCAGAAATATTGGCTTAATATCTCAAAAATAATGACAGAGCATCCCAAAATAATACTCAGTAGCTTAGAAATATTGATATAAAAATAATAAGAACCTTTATTGATATTTTGACTAAGGTATATAGTCCACTGAGCTTCTAAATTATTACTTTAAGATTGTTTCTCATCATCATGATTTACAGGCTCTTTCTATTAATTTCCGAACTCAATAAAACTAAGAACCAGTGGCATAGCTGTGGGTGGGCCCGGGTGGGCCTGGGCCCACCCACATGCACGTCTGGCCCACCCATAGCCAATCAGCGCATTATAGCGCAGAGCTGGGAAGCCCAGAAGGAAGTGCCACAAACTGCAGTTCCTCTAGTGGCAAACAGAGGATGGATGCAGAAAGGAGCAATTCCCATAGACCCCCGTGTTAAAATGCCCAACTTTACAGCAGAAATAAACATGTTTATAGCCTGGATCCAATCAAAGTTATTCTGGATATAGTTAGATTCCACCTTCATGACAATGGAATAGGGAGTGCATTTTTTTAACGTGAGTAAATTAGTAAGTAAAGTAAGTTTTGCCGTGAGTGAATTAAAGTCTTTTTTCTTCTTGAGGTCTGCAGTAAAGCGTGTACACATTTGCTGAATATGAAAAGACTCTCTCAGTGTGTGCCCACTGTGCGACTGTCAAGGATAAACAACCTGTGGCCGCCGAGCCAGTCATGTGTAGGGATGGGTACCGAGCCCCTGTATTAAACGGGCCCCAGGGCTGAATTATTAAAGACCGTGGTACCATTAAGCTCCGACGTTATCGGTCGGTACTGGAGAGAGACATGTAAAACATTTCTGTCATATGTACTATTACTACACAAACATTATATTGCAGTTTTAGCGTCGCCAACTCCTTTTCTAATATGCAAAAAGACAGCAAAATGCGTCTATGATTATTTTTAGTATTTTAGATCTTTCCAATCCCCGCCTGCTTGCGAGGGGGCGGGGCAATAAGAGTGCAATAAGAGTTTAGCATGTAGGTCGCTTTTAGTTTTGGATCAAATTAAGATTTTTCAGGCTTTTAAAAAACTGATTGATGACTATTTCAAGATTTATCTGAGTTTGATGAGACTTTGTTTTGCCTAAGGGTGCCGGTAACACGAGCAATTTGTCTAAACATTTAGCAAAAGTGCACGACATTCAGACGGAGAAATGCACCGGGTTCGACTGTCTTTCTGGTAGCGCTGTAGCCCCCCCCCATCCACGAGTAACGTTTCCACGTCAGGTGTTATGAATGCTAGCAGCGAACACACGGAGTTAACTCAATTATACAAACATGGGTTGATGATTAGAGGTAACTGAGTTATTTATTTTGTTAAAGTTTCAGCTATTCTGTTAACAGTTGTATCCGATTATTTAATACGATGTATACGATTGTTGTTTCTTTTGATGTGAAATATTATGTATTTAATTTAAATAAAATCAATGTTAGTTTTGTTCACAATTTGTTTAGTTAGTTTACCTTCTTTCTTTCTCCAAAAAAACGATAAAAGTACCGTTAAAACACCGGATCGATAAGCGGTATCGATAAAAGTAGTAGTAGGCCTACCGTTAAAACCTTAACAATACCCATCCCTAGTCATATGGATGTCAGTATAACACACATTCTGAGGCCGCCGTGCCTATGTTTTTGTTTTCACTGCTAGTTTATGCTTATGTTCAATTAGTGCATTAAAAAATCATTAAAATCATTAATGAAGTTTCAGCTCAGACCCCACGCTTAATAAGTCTCCCCCTGGCCCACCTACATTTCTCCAGGCCCACCCACCCCAAACCCAATACGACACGGAGTCACAGAGACACCGAGACGTCGTCACTATGGGGGGGCCGGGGTACGAGGGGCGGACGACTTCGGTGTATCCTAGTCACACAAGTCTAGTGACGACTCTCCGCAAAGGAACATGCGGGGAGTCGTCTCTGCAGATAGACACGAGAAAAACTTTGGTCTAGTGTTCTCTTTCGTTTCGAAGCCTAAGTCGTCGCTGAGACCAAACATCTGTCGCAGACGGACAAGAAACAGAGGTTTACAGACGGTCAAAGAATCTACATACGTTAGTCACCGCAGCGGTCNAGGATCATCCATGACTCCGGATCCCGGCGTATATAGACACCAAAAAGAAAGACATTTGGGGAAGCTGGGTTAATCGGAACATGAGAGTACAAAGGTATAGACAGAGAGAAGGAAGAAGTAAGATGTCCCCCGACAAACTAAGCCTATATCAGCAAAACTAGGGGCTGAATCTAATCAGCCCTAACTATAAGCTTTATCAAAAAGGAAGGTCTTAAGCGCACTCTTAAAAACGGATAGGGTGTCTGCCGTCCGAACACAAACTGGAAGCTGATTCCACAAAAGTGGAGCTTGATAAGAAAAGGCTCTGGCTCCCATTGTACTTTTAGAGACTCTAGGAACAACCAACAACCCTGCATTCTTGGAACGCAATGCCCTAGTAGGACAATAGGGTATAATGAGTTCTTTAAGGTAAGATGGCGCCTGCCCATTATGTGTTTTGTGTGTCTGAGACCATGAGTTAATCTGGTTTATCGGGACACACAGCAACACCCTGAAATTGGTCAACAGTGATACCAGAATCCCCATTAGGCTCATAGAATAGAGGGTGTGCCTGTTGGTGATAACTCCACAGATTATCACTCAAAAACATCTCTGATGCATCTGCAGAAACACTGCAACCTTTTAACTGTGCATTTGCGAATACAGGGCAGCACCATTAATTTAAGCCTGATTTGAAATCAAATGTTAAAAATAAATGGACTAATTATGAAAGTGAAATTGGTAAATGCCATTACAGACTGTGCATGTCATCCTCACAAGACGGAGAAAAAATCATGGCGAATTAAGGGAAACTGAATTGCTCTGCATGACAAAAAAGAGATACTAGTCAGTTTGTTGACAGTATAAAATGCCAAGACAAGCAGATATTGCTCTCTGACTGCATGTCATGGGAGAGAAGCATTTCCTAAATTATTAAATGTTCTTAAGCTCTATTATCCTGATGACAGTCATAAACCTTCACGGAAATACCGATAACCTTTAAAAAAGCTTATGTCCATATGTTATTTTACTGATAGCTGAGATCATCCTTTAATAAACACATTTCAGTGTTTCAATATCCCTATTTCTTAATCCTCTAGCGTTTTGTTATAATGTGACTAATGGATGAGGTCAGAGACACTGTGGCGCACGTCAGGAATTAAACAGGCATACAATTTGGCCTTGGTTGCTCTTCAGCAAATATCAGCTTCTGAAAAGCAGTGAGGACTGTGAGAATTAGGGGAAAGTTCACAGCAGACAGAAGGCCTAGATTACGGGGCAGTCGTTTTTTTTACAACCCCGTCAGGGAGCTGTGCGTGATTAAGGGCCAGACCACAAAGAAGGAGCTGCTTAACCCTCTCCTGTCTGAAGCACAGACTAAGTAGGTGAAAGGTAACTGGGAGACTGCTGACAATGCCTAGAGGGGAAACTCAGAGCAGAGGAATTAAAGGGCTCCTTTCTTATGCCCATGGAATGTAACAAACTTAAAGCCTTGGCAGAGAGGGCCTTCAAATAGGATAAACGAGTCCTGCTGTGATTCAGTTAAAAATAGGTGTTTCTAATTGAACCTATTCTATATACAAACAGATTAGCTTTTGTTTGTTCAAACGGTACGATCCAATACAGCAGGATTATCACAGAATGGGAACACATCTCTTAATTGGCTAAAGTATAGGTAAAGAAAGGCGTGGTTGAAAATATCTGTTTCGCAACATGTCAGTATTTGGGGACTGTCTAGTAGACGATTGACATGATTTTACATGTAAAGAACGCATATATGCATTCTTGCATTCTTTTAAAACAGTAGGTGTGTTAAAGAAGAGCAGCAGGTGTTTTCTGCGCTGATCGATGCTGATAAATTACAGCTATTTGTCATACAAGGAGCTGGTTGTGGCGTTAAATGTAACGTTATACAATAGCCAATACTTAAGCAGGAAAATTGTATTGCACATTTCTGGGAGGTATGAGTGTTGTTTGATTTTGTGAAGATACTGTAAATGTGGGATGACTCATTCTTGTTTCCATCATGACCGTAAAGACAGAAAAACCCTTGTGACTCAGTTGTGGAAGGAGAAGTGTCAAAAGTAGACCACAAGGCAAGTAAGTCGGATTGTATCAGTATTACAGATTAATAAGAACAAGAAGAACCAACAGACTACAGGTCACATTGTAGTCGAAGTAGACAATATATTCACTTCAGGACAGACTAGCAAAAAGATTCGATAAACATTAATTTTGGAATAATTTCTAGTATA